CCCAGAAAATAAGGGGACTCGTGGGAAAATGGAAACGAACTCGCTGCTGTATAGACGCGTCACGTTTGTGAGAAAAGACCCCTGCTGCTCCCGGCGTACATATATTTTTCTAGGTAATGCACCGTATATCCAAATTTCGACGGGTGAAAACGGAGTCGAAGGTAGCACGAACATTGACGTTCTGCCTGGATCTCAGATAACGGTCTCCTGCAACGCTACTGGACTCCCACTGCCTTCAGTGAAATGGATTCGTGGCGGTACATATGAAATCGACCCAAGCACGGTAGGACTGAAATACTGAGAAGTTTACCAGATGATGAATCCTTTCTTCCAGGTTGATACCGCAACCTCACATGCACAGTTTTCGCTGCAAGTGGCTAATATCACAGAAGACACGACCTTCAACTGTGTAGCCCAGAACCCACTCGGGCACGCGAACTGGACCATCAATGTAAACCTACTGCCAGGTATCTCTTAATGTCTTTCTCTTCTTGAAATTTCTATTTTTTTCTAACTCTTTTCATTTTGTTTAGGACTGGAACCGGAATGGAAGGATGACTTTGTCATTTCAAAAACTGAGAACGGTGAAGTTGTTCTTGCCTTCAGTGATAATCTGCCCGACTATCTTAAGCCGCCGGTAATTAAGTCCGATTATCGTTCGCAGAAACAGAAGAAATTGAATTTTTGATTTTTAGAGCGACTGGGTTATAAAATATACGGACGACCCCAATTTGCCGAAGGATGATTGGAAGACCATTCCATCAGACTCTGGACCATTGACACGAATAGCTGTGCCTGATATGGAACCGGGCACTTATTACTATTTGGTTGTCGACAGTCCTGACAAAGGAATTCAGACTCCCACGTTGCTGGTCATGACTCCAAGTTGGTGATATTCTCTTAGTTTTCATTCACCACAATGAACGTCCTGTGCACTGACTTCAGTGCACCTTTTCTTTGTCTCCTTCATTCATAATCCCATTTCATGCATTTCCAAAACGATCACAGTGCACGTTTTCGTTAGATACATGTACACCTTATCCATGTGAAAGGGTAGGCTGAACATGGCATCAGCGGATCACTCGTGGGATATTTGAACTTGAGGCAACTGTCACCTTGTTCTGACAAAATATCCCAGAAAACCTTGGCCGCCGTCACGTTCAATTCAGCAGCTACGCCTACCGCATCTAACAATATTTTGAGGAGATTTTTCGCGGGTAATCGCAGGTATACGAAATGTCTCTTGTTGAAGATTCATTGGTCCTGATTCAAGGATATGACACCTTTCAGGGGGAGTGAATATTATTACGACCCTTTATTTTTCGATTTTTGTCAGGGGGCACTTCCACTTACAGTACGCGGCAGCCTCGAAAAGAAACTGTACACACATCTGGCCCTAGACCGTAGAACCTTGTCTTGCCTTATGCGAGTTGAATTGGTCCACAACTGCAGTACAGCTATCTCCACTACGCATTTCTTTCATTGGGATCATTGCGTAGTGACATTCAAAAGCAGTCTCCCGGCTACGCCCGCGCTGCCGCACGCACCCAATCATAGCCAAACGAGCTGCTTGTCTACTTCCTCTCTTTTATGGTTGTTATCTTTTCTGGCGTTTTCTAGCGCCTGTCCCATCACAAGAGCTGAAGCGAGCAGCAATAGTGAGGTTAGATAAGTCCGTCATTAGATAAGTACGCGCGACATCACGACATCACGATCACCACGCGCGAACCACTAAACGGATATTGTAAGTTGAAATCAATTGTCATTCTTGGAAAGGCTGATTTGGAAAGGACGTCTCTAGTAGATGTAACCATAAAAAGAAGCAGTGAAGGTTGGATGATCGAAAAAGTGATTAGAGATTAGATAAGAGAAACAGCAAACAACATGAAGAAAACCCGTTACTCTATTGAAAGCTATCTTACGGTTAGGAGAAAGCTCAAAAGAGGATTACAAAGAGTTGGGAAGTGATGTTGCGACCGATTCCGACAGAAGGATCAAGAATTGGGAGGTTTCTGTCTTGCAACTTGCAGCTCTTTTTGTCGAAACTGGCGCAAAGAACGGTTGCAACTTTATGGCAAATCCATTTCATTTAAGTGTTTTCTCCTCCAGTTACGTCCTAGCTGCAGATGAATCCATATTCAGATTCATTCAAGTCTAACTCTATCTTATCGTTGCCATAACTAGCAGGACTAAACGTATTTTTCGAGTTGTCGTGAACTTTTTTTCACAAATTGTCTTCTCTCATTGTTCTCTGTTCCAAACATCTGTTATCCGATCCCTTTACAGCTCTTCGGTCGTCCAACCTTTACAGTTTCTCTTTTGTGATCACATTTACTAGAGGTGATCTTTCCAAACAAGTTCTCCTGTATATCAACTGGTTTCGACTTACAAGGTTCCGTTTAGAGTCGGTGCGCGCGGCGATCGCGACGTTGTGCGGACTTATCTACCGGATTTTAGAGTACCCTTTTCCACAAACTAAGGCCATGTAACAATACTTCTAAATAGCTATTCTCTTCTACTCGATTTAGAGAGATTGGTGAGCTACTCATTGACGTCCAATTAAGTAATGTCGCGTTACCACCTTGTTAGGCTGACTCGCACCTAGCGGAGAGACATCCTTAAAGACACATGGTACGCTCAAACACATAGCAGGCCCGGCATGCATACTATCAGCCCCCAGCCTTTCATGTTCGCCCCATCGTCCCACCGCCAAAACTGCACGCAGGTCAGAGTACGCGGGCCGTCGGAAAAAGTACCGTGACTTCCTGCTACATCCGCCCGCTTTCGGCAAACTCACGTTTTCCACTACACATCGCGCGGTACCGGTCGCGTGCAGGCTCTTTTGGTTTGCAAGTCCTGTAAATTCAGCTTTGGAATACAAGTACAACGCAATTTCTTTATGCGGATAACATTTAGGTGCTGCAAAATAAGAACCGAAGATGATGACGAGGGCCAGAACTCAAGAGCAACTGTGCTGCTTCCTGCAATATTCCTCAGAGGCCGCGCGCACCGACAAGGGCCGTTTCCACAGAACATGACAATAAAAACGGACAACATGACAATAAAACATGACAATACAAGCAAAACGCAATTTCCTAACATTTGAGGTATTGCTCATGCTTCAAAGTCCGAATAGAAGGTGATGAAGATGACAAAGGGCTTAGGAAATGAAAACAACAAAACGAATGTAGATGTAAATAACACCTTGAAATTGAAAAAAAAACTAAGGAAACGCAAATTAATTAAAATCGCGTGTGCATTTCTGCGATCCGGCTCGAATCCAGCTCTAAAGCTATAGAAATACTTCAAACTAACGAGTGGGACGCACGCTTAGCCGTTTATTATCATGTTCTTTGGGAATGCCGGCCTCCTGCAGGATATTGCCAGAAGCAGCCACAGTCTGCTCTGAGTTCACCCCTCTCATGCTTCAATCATCTTCGGTTCTTATTTTGCAGCACCTAAAATGTTATCCGCATAAAGAAATTGCGTTGCACTTGTATTCCAAAGCGCAATTACAGGACTTGGCAAAAAGCCAAGAGAGCTGCACGCGACCGCGCCGCGCGGACGGTGTTAGTAAAAACGGTTTGCGAAACGGGCGGTGTGACTTTGTAGCAAGCGAATTACGATTTCCAACGGCCCGTACTCTGCACCTCGTGCAGTCGTGGCAACCAGTTGGCGGGCGGACCACACACATCGACAGTGGCGGGGGGGCTGATAGTCCCATAAACCCACAATGTTTGAAAGCGTACCATGTGTCTTTAGCAGGTTGCAGAAGAATATCGTACCAGTTTTTACTGACCCATTTTTTATGTTGAAGATGAGCACTGGCTGCTGCAGAGTAAACGCTGCCGCGTTCTGGCAAGTTTTCCCGCATGAACTCTCAGGATACAGTTCTACATGCACCTATACTTCCTTCCTCTGGTCATTTATTTGCAGCGAATAAGCAGAACATGAAAGAGTGGACCAATCTTTTTTCTTGAATGCTGAGCTCAGTAATGTTTTATTTCATTCCACCACGTACACTGTTACAGAACCGCCCAGTGAAATCCGAGTTGGTACGAATATCAATGACGAAGCATTGGTTGAACTTCAAATATGCTTATCAAATCTCAGCCAATAAGGGCAAGTTTCTATAAATCTGATAAATTATCGAGACGTTCCTTTAGTAACTAGCACCTCTAATTGTAAGATCTGTCACTATACTGAAGTCATGTCTCTAAACAAAATGAATTGCCTCACGATCACTGTAAACAGTGATCGTGAATGTTGTTGTTTAGGGGCGGGCAGTGAACGATTACCTGAGAAATGGTGCCGTTCCTCGCAGTCGACTAAAGTGTACCACTCCGGCCACGAGACAAGGCTTGACAATGCCCTTCACTCGGCCGGAGCCACACCAGGCTGGAAAGTTAAAGAAGCAGAGAGCTCCCGACCTTGGACGAGCTTCCTCCTACCCAGTTACCGAGTCCTGGTGTGGTTGGAAGTTCGCGGCTCTTCTCTTGACTGCAACAAATGCGCTGAAACTGGCGACACTGTTACTACATTCCTGATAGCTAGCACCAGCATTTCAAATGCTTTAAGAACATGAGACTTGTGGACTGGAAGACTCATTCCAGCGCCGGCAAACACGTACGATTTCGGAGGTGCAGGGATGTCATTAGGGGCGTTCTTGGCTGTTCTTCTGCTCCTTCTACACTTAGTTTTTCTGCGCCATATGCTCATAAGTGCTCAGAAATAGCAGGTGGCGCTGTTTGTCGACGGGGGGGGGGGGCATTTTGTATTATCATTGCTTCCCTAGTTCCGGTTTACAAATCTCACTCTGGTAAAACTTGTGAACTCTTGTGAAGCTGAAGTAAGATCGTCTAGCCACTATCCTAAAACGTGTCAACTCGAGAAACGGCTACCTAGATGGGTCGACACATCTATGGAAAGCAAAATGCCCCCCCCCCGTCGACAAACTGCGCCATAGCAGGTTTCTCATTTGTGCTTTTTGACTGTTACATTTCCCATTTTTCTGAAAAGTATCCCACCGTATGATCTAATGATTCTCAGCCCTAGCCCTGCCAATCCCCTCAAATAATGGCTCGTGGAGAGTCAGCTGATGTCAAAGTCAAACGAATAATGCGTAGAAAAATTAATATGATTCCCTCTAGAGCCACTATAGCTACACTTTACTCAAACAAGAACCACTACTTTGTGGTAAACTTCTCAGTCTTATTCTTATTCATCATCATCAGACACCTTCTTCTTTTTCTTTTCTTCCTCTTAAGACTAACTGTACATTCAACTCCAAGGGTGGTCATTGCTGCATGCGAAGTGATTAGTCCGCAGCTGCAATGGTGTGCCACTTTTTCAAAAATGCACAGCAAAGAAGCTATAGGGTAGTGGTACGCAGGTGTCGTCTCATACTCCGCCTGCGCTATCATCAAAATGCAGCGCTTATCGATGCCAAGATCTCCCAGAAGGTGGCACACCACCGCAGCTGCGGACCCACACAGGGCACGGACCAGGATCCTGAGGAGAAGAGGGCTTAATTGGTCTTCAAGTGGGATATTTATTTAATGGATGGAAAATTAATATCATTGAAGATGGATGTTACACTATCAGAAACCATAAAGCTTCGGAAAATTTCTACATCTGTTGGCCATTTGAACGAGCTCTCCCACATCGTCTTCGAATGATAAAAGCTTAAATTCTTTACCTCTTTCTTCTCCCCTTTTCTTTTCTTTATTCTTTTCTTTCCTTCTCTCTTCATTCTTTCCTCTTCTTTACTGTTCTCTGAAGAGTATCCCCAAATAAAAGAAGGGTGGAAGACTTCTCTGTGCAGGATTTCATGTGGGATCTGACCCTGTGGGAGGTAACCGGCACCGTTTGTCACTACACCACCCAGATACTGGTATCTAAGTAGAAATAGTGCATGTGAAATTTGATAAGTGCAACTTATTTCGAGCAAGGTCCTAGATAAGGTAGAATTCGAGGAAGCTTTCAAGGAAGGTCCTAGATAAGGTAGAATTTGAGGAAGCTAGTATAAATGAACTGATGATAAATGTGCCATTAAAAAGTGATCTTCAGAAATACTCTATCAAAGTCTGGAAGGTTGACGATCCAAGCAGCGTTAAGCATTATGAGACAAGCCCTGATGTCTCCAGTGGCGTGGTTCTTGATGGTTTGGAACGTGATACAGAATACGCGGTGCAGGTAATACAAGTTATATTTTCAGCTGATTGACTGTGGAAAAGCTAGTAATGAAAGTTTTGCAGGTGGCTGCTGAATTCTACGAAGGAGATAGCCTATCCAGTGAACCCGTTACAGTACGTATTCCACCTGGTGGTGAGCCTATTTTTCTGTTTTCCTATGCTTGACATTGACTCCACCATTACAGTAAAGCTATTTTCGCGTAGCGATCAAGCTAGGGAGTGCAATACTATCTATACACGACTCGCTCCTTTTGAGTTTCCCCTTATACTTTGCGTTCTTTTCCATGGCTGTCGCTAGTCGTAGGATCATCTAAACAACGAAATGGCGGACGAGAGAAGCTTTGCAAGAAGTATCGCGGCGTTTGCACCAGTAGATAGTCGATAAAGGATAAAGTCTTCGCCGTTGATCAATCCCTTTGTGGGATGCGGCACGCATTCTACTTCCATTCAGAATCGTAGTGGCTTATTGAATGCGATGTGGCCTATACAATGACTTGCGGGGGCCAGCCGATGTACAAGTCAGTGTTTTTATCCTCCCAGACGAATCTGGTACCAATTTACCGTCCCGAGGGTAGAAGGCTTGGTTGGCCTGGGCGGGAGTCGACCCAGGATTTGAACCCAGGACCGCGTGAGTGGTAAGCGCGCTACTTGTCGCTACAGCGCTTCCTGCCCACATAGTAGATATCATCATGAAAAGATGCACTATTCTAAGTATACTGGTCAAGAAATAGCTGGTCCCCATTACGTGTAACTGCTGGAACACCACCTCGAGATTCGTTTGGTAGGCCCATGAGACTTCCACAAAGTGACGACAAATGACATGTGCCATAAGAAAGCGTTACATCTCTACTTTTTGACTACAAGCATAAAATCAGCTCTAGCCGTCCACCACCGCCCCAATCTGTGTACATGCTTGAGGGTTCTGCAATAAATAAGTCGGAAGTATAAAATCGTTTACCCTCTTAGCATACAAGCCGCCTTCATGAAACCCATGAAAAAGGGATGCAAACGTATCGAATCGTCAAGGTCCTTTCCATCACCCCGACAAATGGTCTACATGAATGCTCAGATGAACGCTCAAAGACGGTCCCCGCGTTCGAGCACCGAGCGCTTTGCATAAGTGGTCTGGCCCTCAATCCCTAAGGTTATCCCGTTTTCGCGGCTTCATAGTAAGTGACGAAGGCACTGTGGTCCTCACAAAAAGCATTTCTGACGCCTCTCCAGCTGTCCCGCCCACCGAAACTCAAAAGCTAATTACTGTCACAAGTTCAGTTTTTACACCACGTTTTCCTTTTTTTTCTCTTTTGAAAAACTTCCCCTTTTTGAATCCAGTCTTCAACTCTTAAACTGAGCAGATCAGCAGAGAAACGCCCACTGATTCTACCCAAAAAGACAGGCTCCAGAGGAAGAAGCTTGTCGTCTATATGCAAGCCACTAGTCCACTGTCTGCGATGGCCAATGATTGTGGGCTTTGCCTATAACGATTCAGTCCTTAAATAACAAAACGGGGCGCGTATGCTGCTGGGTAACGAATCGGGAAACAAAGTGCTTTAACATTCGCACGTTATAGTGCTCACAAACCCATACACCACAGGCTGGGTGTACCTGCCTGTGGTGTATTGGACCCCA